GTCCAGATTCAGCCATGGTTGAAACTGATCAGTTTCAGCAGCGGCTGACGCCAGTTCCGACTTACATACAGATTCAACTTAAGAACAAACCTACAGTCCCTATCTTGTACGTAACCCGGGGACTGCCTGTATATGCCGATAACTTTTTAGCATATTATAATATAGCTCATTGGCCATCTGTAGGTGTTAGAGAATTTATCATCACTTAATAAGGCTCAGAACTGTCATGATTACTAATATTGAACCACTGAAATTCTAGAATGAAGGATATTTTAATAAAAGACAATTGAGCCACATTCTTTATGACAAGACTGCTCCTCCTATGGCCCCTGGGCTATGCACACACCACCAGAGCATTTCATAAGGCTCACATCCTGTTTTAACACAATATGCTATCAACTCATTTATTAGCATTTTGTTGTCATGTTTATATCATTTTAGTTCACACAAGTGTGTAGATAAACAACACTCTATATACAAACAACCTATCCAAATACAGACTAAACAAGCTGAACTTAAACTATAAATCAAATTGTATTAAAATGTTGTCAGATCTGAATAGCCCACACAAGGCTGTGCATACGTTCATGTGGCCATTCTGTGTAATAAGGTTGGGTGCTACTGCTTTATGATACAATTTTCTTATCGGTCAGTTATTAAGCCATGGAACACTGCTTAATATTGCAAGTTTATCTTAACCATATTAGAGTATCACGCCTAAGCAAAGTTGCTTTTATGCAGGACCATCTTGGCATGTTGGATCTTGAAAAACTAACAAATTATACTATGGTCTGACAGAGATCTTTGCTTGCTTCAGTATTATATACATTTGTACATGTCATCTAGGTGAGTTTGGAACAGATGTTATTCGCTAAAGTCATTAATCTGCCATAAATTTACCATAAACAATTTAGATTGAGCTAGTAATCTGAGTGGTTCCCAGGTGTGCATTATTACAATAATAATGCACTGGTCAGAACTTGTTAGACATGTTACCCTCAAACAAATTATTTCCTCTGCAGTTCAGACCAGATTTTCAGAATTTAGTGTGTACATTTATGTGTAAAACCATGTGTATATTCACATAGCTAATTAGCCAATACAATTCCTATGACAATGGGGGAAATAATAATTCTTGCTCTCTGGTTAATTTGACTAGGCATTTGCTCTTACAACTACTTCAGAAGTGTGAACAATTGTAGTAAATGTTTCCACAAGATAGTCATGCATATGCACATTGGCATGTGCAATGTACTGAAAGTGTGGTACTTTTGGTTATTATTATTTATTTTTAGTTATACTCAGTTCTCTATTAGCCAAATAATGAAGACCTTCCTTGGTCAAAATTTCCATAATAGGTCAAATATGGCATTTGCAATTGTACATATCCAGTTTCTTTGTGTGGTGGCATTAATAGTGTTATAAAAAAGATGTACAATTACATATGGCATAAGATTTCATTTATTTAAAAAATCAAGCCCTTAATATATTGCACAAAGGTACTGCCTTCCCAAAGTAAGTCTTCCAAAAATGATTTTACTGCTTAGCAGTAGACATGTCTCTCAAAATTGATTTGTGGGTAGCATTATGGTTATTCTTCAGTTACTGGTTACTCAGATTGGCAGGAATTTCACTCCTTTTTTCCCCTCTGTGTTTGCGAGCAGCCACATTTCACAAGAAAATCCTCAATATCTATATTTTTTGCCTTTCTTTGGAAAGCAGAACTGAACAGGACTTTCACATCATCATACTTGTATCATGAGGTCTGCCATTGAAGCTAAAATAGATATAACACTCTACCAAGTGGAAAATGTATGCATGGAGCCACTTGAGGTAAATGATTTACAACAGTCAATAAATTTAGTAAGCTTGTGGGAATGGCAACAGCTCTTTGGCTATACGTGATGGAGTCCCGATTAATTTAAAAATAAGTCAGTTTTCCCCAAACTGAGGCCGATTAAAGTTATTACAGACTTCTGAGTTTATTTGCATAAAAGCTTAAGAGAGCAGAAACAAGTATGTCACTGTTCACAAGGGACACATAACAGAGTAGGTCTAAAATCAAATCAAAAGCCATTGTTTCAGGAGTATTTTGATAGCACATTACATCTCTAACCTCCTACCTCTTTCTGAGAAAAGTTAGAAACCACTTCAGTGAATGATAACTTTGTTCTCCTGCCTTGTGAGCCAGACCAAAAAATGCACAAGTGCATGGGAGAGTAATAGACAAATTTGAAATAGCAATGGAAAAAATAAGCAATATGAATGAAGAAGCTTTAGAAAATGCAGTGAGGTGTATTAGTCCTATCTAACATACTGGGACATATTGTTATGATAGTGTATGGGAGTTATGTACCTAATTTATACTGTTTGTCAACAGGATTAGTCATGTTGTATTCTTTTCTGAGATATTTGGCATTTGGTAGGTTGCTCATAGGCTATCATAGAGCACACTTTTGTCTTATGGGTTGTGGTGGAAGATGATTCTATCATCATGTCCTAGAGTTTTTTGCATTTTGTCTCTAGTCAGGTAGGAGATTTATTTAGTTTTCTTTTCTATTAATGAATTTTTAATCCTCTAGGATCGCTTTATAAATATAGTTTCATTACAAAATATAATACACAATAGGTTCGTCTTTATGAATAAAGACAGGATTGACAGAAGTGCAGCAAGGGTATTTATCTTTTATCAAACAGAGGTACAAGTGATCAGTATTTTAAATCATTTTGATAATTAAGAAAATAGAAGGACAGTATCTTTCACTGTGACGGTAGATGTTCCTGTGGCAGCAAACAGGGTTTGTGGAGGCAGCTAAGGAAAATTCGCCTGGGGGCAGGCATTGTATTAGGTATCCCTATGCTGCCCAATGAGGGTTGCCAACAAGCCCAAAAGGGAGGCATTGCAGTGATCCATAGATTAGCCCAAGGAGGTTATCATAATTTGTGCTGTGTAAGTTATGCATGGGGCTATAATGGCTTCTAGAGCTGAATAGAATTGGATGAGCACTAATGTTGCTTAAAGCCATCTTAAAAGCCTCTCCACTTGGGCTTTGAGGTTTGTGCTGTTCCAGTGAAAGATGCAACACAGACTGTCAGCCACTGTTTTCAAATGTGTCCTATAATATTTACTGCAAATACAGAACACTAGAGAGAGGCTGACCTACAAACTTTGGACATGTGTCTCAATTTTCTCACAGTTTAAGATTAAGCCCAGTGTTTTGGTTCAGGTACATCATTATGGTAGACACTTCACAACTCTTAACTTGCACCAAATCCAGAAGCCCTCAGTTTTTACCACATTCTTCCCATTGTCTCCTCCGTTGGAATTTTACCTGCGTATGGACCAAGTAAATTATTCAGGATTTGGCCCATAGCAACACATTTGGCAAGATTTTAAAAAATTCAGCTGCAGGTGCTAATCTGATCATATGAGATGCAACATTGAAGCTTTTTCTTCCAGGCTCAAAATACACATGCAAATTGTTCTGGCACAGTTTGCATGAACAACATAGTGAAACTGATTCTTTGGAAAACCATAGACTTCAAGCAGTGCTTGTTATCTTCAATTGACTTAACACATTGTTCTGCATAATGATCCTAGTGATTACTATGCCAGTGAAGGTTACAAAATCTCTGTGGTTAACTGATGCTCACATTTAAGATAATTATTTTGAAGGAATAGCACTTTGTCACAATTTGCTTTTTTTACATTTTGGTAAGAATTTTTTTAAGCAGGAAGGTTAATTTATATATGGCACTATGCCTTTTACTATGTATATAGTACAAATAGAATCCTTCCTTTAATTTAGCTTTTCAGACCCATAGGGTAAGTAGTGTTTATCTGATAATGCTAAAGGGTAGAAGCCAGGTACGTCGGGCTAGATTCTCTGCTGATATAAATAGGTTCAGCTCTATTAGCTACCTCAATTTAAACCAGCCAAGGTCTGGTCTATCTTATTTATCTAGAATGACGTGTAAGAGAAATGTATAGATTAAAAGTTGTGTACAGAAGCACAAAACTTTCTGGCTACCAATCAGCGGAGCAAAAAGTTCTATAAGACAAAGTCTAAGACAAAGAGATCTTATAGGTTTTGCTTCTCTGAAGATGGCATGCATCCTATAGACCAGAAAATTTGAGATAAAGTTTACACTTTGGGGCACGTTAGGTGTATAGAGCCCACTGGAATTCAATGGACATCAATGTCTCAAAATGTTTGAAAATCTTTTATTTGTTCAATATTTGTTCAGATGCCTAAAGAAAATAATTTAATTTTTGCAATATATTTAAACAGTGATACTATTCACGATAATAACTGGAAATAAAAACTAACTGGCATTTTTCAAGTCTCATTAAATAAAATAAATATATATGTACTATATGGCATCAGTTCTGTGTACAATATATTTTATATTTGCTTTATTATTTGGTTGATATTTTACACTAACCATAATGCACCTGATTAGTGGCATGTTATTTACTAACCTAATGGTCAAGAGTACAGACCAGAGTGACTCATTTAGTCTTGAAGCAACTACTTTCATTTGAGCTAGCATATATTCAGGACAAATGGAGGTTTCATCTCGATTGCTAAGGAAGCTTAGTTTATGCAACACATCAACAGAGGTAACTGTTGCAGTTGGGCACCACTGATAGCTTCTTCTGTCTCAAACTGATTTTTTCCCTCTGTTCCTCTGTATAGAATAGTGGAAATCTATTGAAGAAGTCAGCACAAGGCTATTTCTGTGATTAAACACACCTGTTTTATGACAATTTATAAAAATTGGTGAGGTCTGTTTATAAATACAGTGGAACTGGTAAAGCAAATGTACAGTTTTTAAAAACAGTCATATTTATCTTACTGTGCCAATAAAATAGCATACTATTTAGTTTGAAATCAATATATTTTTGCTATGATAGATTGTTTGTGACACCTATGGCTAATATAATACACTACCACATTTATCACTTAAGGATTTTGAAAAGCTCTTTCTTTTTGCAGAGCCATTGAATGGATTATTGGATCTATTTGATCATGAGGTACATCCACACGAAATTGACGAACCCCCCATAGATGCAGACTCATCACAGGCTGAACCTTGTACCTCAGTCCCTGATCAAGAGTCTTCTGAGTACCTAATAATGGAACCTTTATTTCCCATTTTTGAACTGGAAGAGGAAGAAGAGGAAGATGAAGACTGTGAAAATTCTACCGATGTTACAACTCCTCCAGCATTGCAGTTCATCAATGGAAAGCAACAGGTGACCAGCGCACCTAAAGACACAAAAGCTGAAGAAGCAAGAAGTGACCAAATTGAAAGTGTTACTCATTCAAAAAATGTCACATTTTCACACATCAATGAAACTAACACCCTAATACCTGAAACTGAGGCCTCTGGTACAATACAGCCAGGTGTATCTAGAGAAATAATAGGGGCATTTGAAGTTACACAACAACCTACAGTAGATGTTGCAATGTTGGAGCCTGTTTTAAGTAGTGATTTGGAAGTTGCCACTACAGATAAATCTGAGGTAACATCTATATATGGGCAACCTTCATTAGAACACTCAGAGACCTTAAAACATCATGGAACTGAATTTCAGCAAAGCTCAACTGAAGACTCCAAAATCTTGCCTTTGATTACTATGGAATCTTCTGGAGATGCTGCCATTGTCTCTGAGTTCTCAGGTGCTGTTGTTTCAGAAACTATTAAAATGACAATCAAAGAACATGCTATAAAAAGTTCAGCAGCAACTTCTGCTCCAAGTCCTGAGTTTGATACTGCTACTGCAGAAATAGGCACAAAAGACCATATGCCAGAAAAGAAAATCTCTGTTCTAAGAGATGATTATAAATCAACTGTTAAGCCTGTTAGACTTTCCCCATTGAAAACCTTTGTAGAAACAACAACAAGAAGTCATATACTGAAGTCTGTAGCAAGTCCTACTTCATTTATAATGCCAGAAGGCTCTGGAGATGTAGCAGAGGAGGCTGTTGCTAAAACTTCAGCTATGGTTACAGAGACTGTAGTTCCTGAAAAGATTTCAGTACAAGAAACTTTCTTAGGATCTGGCAAACTTCTGACAACAGAAATTACTGCCACTGTTTCAGGACCCTCCATTTCTTTGCATAAAGAAACTAGCACTACATCTTTCGGTTTTGACCAAAGTTCTGAAAAAACTGCTACCACCGCATCTGTTACTGGGTTAATTACCGAAAAAGGAGTTAGCAGTGCTCCTGAAACAGAAACGAAAATGAAAGAAGATGAAAAAGAAGCACAGAGCACTGTTCCTTTAACTAAGGAACGTTCATCTACTGTTGAGATAGGAAAGTCAGTATTCAGTGATGCACAGGAAAGTTCTGGTTACCATATTGAAACTGTAGGTGAGGAATTCACTACTCTCAGCAAAATAATACTAATGACAGATGCCACGTGGCCTGAAAGCAAAGTGATTACCGCTGCTCCTTTTTCCACAGAGAAAAGCCTTTTTATAGATGAGGGATCTGGAGAAGAACTAACACACATTAGGAAAACCACTGGAGACATAATTTCAGGGGGTGTCACAACAAATGTGGTAAGTACCAATCCCCCATTTATTGAGCCAGGCTCTGGAGAAATTGCCTCACCTGCCATTACTGAAGTTCTATTGGGGTCTGTGACTGGGAACATTGAAACACAAACAAAAAAGCAAGAAAGAGAGGGCTACAGCACAGATGCTTCATTTGTGGAATATACAGCAACTGTTGAAACAATTAAGTCAGGGTTAAGTACTGAATCAGATTACTCAGCTAAGGAAGCTGGAACTGGAAGGCAGGAATCCAAAGACTCTCTTAGTGCAGGTAAACCAGGGGAACAAAAACATGAAACAGAAGCTCGTTATATGATTACAACTCTTCCTTCTCAAGAACAGTCTTTTCCTCAGTCTAGAAAAGAGATGGCAACTCGTGTTGCAACAGAAGAACAAACTAAATACTTAGAAAGGCCTTGGGCCACATCTTCTGTGGAGACTGTAGTTGAAATCACTTCTCCTGATACCATTGTGACACATGCTATCAGCAGCATAAAGGCTGTAACTGAATCTACAGAAAGTGAAAGGGGAAAAGGCAGCTCTCCAATAATCTCAGCAGAGACAAATATTCTTATGGAGGTAGGTTCTGGAGAAGAATCAAGTGATGAGAGTGGAACCATAGTACCAGTGGCACATAGTTCCACCAAAAAAGTACTTGGTACTACTTTCCCATTAATTGATCAGGGTTCTGGAGAAGTGGATTCTATCATTGAGTCTTTCACAGAAACTACAGCTTCACCACATTTAGCAGTTAGAAGACCAGAAACCCAAACAACAAAAGATGAAAGAGAAATTATCAGTGCACCCTCTGTAGATGGTTCTTTGGCTGTTGGGTCTTCAAATATAGACATAAGTACCAAAAGTGAAGTCACCACTGTTAGAACAGGAACTCCAAAAAAAGTCATTACTGAGGTAAAAGTGGAAGAGCAAATTCCTACAGAATTAGTAACTAGAACTTTTGGTATAAATCTTCCTTTGGAAGAAGAGATACATTCTGAGCAAACAATGTCCACAGAAACTACACAAAAAGCAGAAGATCCTTCTGGAATAACAACAAAAGATCCTATCATTAAAAGTACAGAATCTACCTTAGAAAAAATTGAAATTTCAGTTGTTTCCACAGTTAGTCCATTTTCAGAAGAAAAGAAACTGGAGATAATTCCTGGCACTGAATATATTGAAAAAATAATTCCATTTAATGATACTACCCTAGTAACTGAGTTCATAAAACTTGAAAGCAAAGATATAAACACTACCACTACACTTACAAAGAAAGAAAAAGATTTGGTACATAATATTTCCCCTACAGAAGACATTCATAGGTCACATTTGACCCCAAAGGATGACAAGCCAACCGATAAAGAGATAAGTAGTGACTCATTGTTTTCAGGACAAGGATCAGGAGATGAATTTATTAGTGTTCCATCAATGGTGCCACTGACTGTTGTGACTATAAAAGAAATCTTTACTTTAAGTCCTGAAACATTTCATCCTGAAAACATGGGACCAAAACTTGCCTCTGACACAGAATTTGCAAGTGGTCAGACTGAATCAAACAAGAATTCTAATGAAGAATTCAGACTATTCAGTTCTGTAACGGAGGCAGTTTCAGACACAACAGAAAAAATGTTCACTATGACTTCTGCTTCAGTTGAAGAGAGTTCTAGGGACTTCAGTATTAAAGAAGCTACCAAAAAAGAGACATTCCATTCTTTTTTCATCACTGAAGACTCTCACAAACAAGAATTTTTTCATTGGGTAAAAGAAAAGGAAACATATGGAGCACCAGCTACTACCGATCGAGTTGTTACGCAAGAGGAAACTTCCCAATTGATGACTAATGGAAATATAACTGCTGCCTCGATGAGATTCTTTAAAGAACACAGTCTTGAAACAGAGAAAGCACTTTCAACATCAACAATAAAAATGCCTCCCATACCACTGTATGAAAGTTCTGGAGAAGGATCTGGCTGGGTAGACACCCATTTGCAAAAGCTTGAAACAACAGTTGCTCCTCATGCTCAGACGGAAAACTATTCTGAAGCACTGAACACAGAGATAGCATTTAATGGATCACAAACTGTTTCAGTGTTGTTTTCCACCCAAACAGAAGAAAAAGAGATTGTACCAAGCCCAACTAGTGTCCAACCAAAGACATTTACAGGTGAGAGTTTAATAAACGATACAAGGATTTTTAATGAGATCACAGTAATTGAAGTACAACAAGGAATCACATCAGATGAAACAACAATCATAGATATGGATCATTCTAAATCAATGCATGAAGATATATTAACTGTGCAGACAACTCCAGATACAGAGACTCATTCAACATATGGCAATAATGACAGCATGGAAGTTGAAGTGAAGGAGTATGATTTAACATCTAATCTTTCTATTGCTGAAGAGAAATCATATGGATCTGGTGATAATCTTTCCATGACTATTTCCAGTAAGTCAATAAATACTGAATCAGTAACAACTGAAAATAGACCCAGACCAGATGATAAAGATTTTGGTTCAGGGGGTGTCACGCTGTTCACAACAGACACTCTCATCATTGCTGAACTCCCTGAACTGGATATTTTGCTTCCAACGATATCATCAGTGGCCAGCCCTCATGTGCCCCCCCGAGTCAGTGAAGAGGTCAAAGAATCTCCATTTGAAACTAAACATGTAACACCAAAAAATAAAACACAAGACCACCCTGAATCAAGTACTTTGTCTGATAACCAAGCAATAGCAGATCAAAGTGAAATAATCTCTACCTCGGGATATTCAGGAATGGGACAAGAAGAACCTGATGAGGAGAAGGGTTTGTATCCTTCTTTTAGACCAGACTTACCTACTAAGACAGAACAGGTTTTGCCAACAAACATGCCTGATGTAAGTCATGTTACCCCACGACTTCTATCCCAAAACTTAACAGAGTCACCTAATATAAGTGAAGTAAAACATCATGCAGTTTACACAGAAACAAAAATCACATCAGAAGAATCTGAAGAAACAGATTTAGAAAAATTTCTTCCTGTAACTCAAATGCCCAAATCTCCTGTAACTGTCTACCTGGTTAATGAAGTATCAGCATACCCTGAAGAAATCATTCCAAGTACTTTGCCATCAACTGATTCAGACAGGTTCAGTCAATCAGAACAAACTTTCAAAGAAGTTAGTGCTGATGTTGCAGCAACTTACAAACCACTCACCAAAGTGCTGTCCACTAAAACCGAGTCTCCACTAGACTTTTCTCCTGAACCTGAATCAGAAAGCACAACTGTTGAAAGTACTCCTGATTTTAGTGGACAGATAACAGACAGAACAAAGGAAGAATCTTCCATAATAGAATTGATTGCTGAGGAACCAGCAACCATTTCTGAAGATTCTCTATCAAAATATGTCATACCAACAGCTTTTATACATTCTGGAGGAACAATAGACACAGAGATTCCAGAAGTTAGCCCATCTGAAGATGAAACTTCAACAGAGAAAGTGAAAGATCCCAATGAAGTAGAGGAAAGCAGCAATGGGGGAGCTTTGCCAAGCCTATACACCACACCAGCTTCAGTTCCACATGAAAGTGTAGCAGCTGGAGTACTCAAGTCTGGCCAGGCAACTGTTGCAATGTTACCTTCATCTTCAACATCTCTGGATATAAGCCTGGAAACACAAATATCTGTGGTAAGACAGAAGGAGGCCACAACAATTTCATCTGATGTTGCAACAAAAATTACAGCCCCTGTAAACATTCCTGACTATAATAGACAGATAACCATAAACCCAGAAGACCTAAACACAGTTGAACTTGTAACTTCATCATTTTTCCTTCTGGAAGTTACTAATGGATCAGATTTCCTGATCGGCAATAGTGAAGGTTCAGTTGAAGGCACAGCAGTCCATATACCTGGTAAGATACAAATTTGATAAATATCTTAAGCTTGTTTTGTTACCTGCAAACATGTAAATGTTTTCTTTATGTTCTCTTGAAGACTTTATTCTATACTAAAATGATAGGTTTTAACAAACACGTGCTTATCTATGAAATATGATAATCAAACAAAATTTGGAAGACCATGAAGATAATGCATTTAAAAGCATCATACAATACTGAAGTTAATACAGTGGTGAAACCTACCCTGTACAAGTTCAAAGAAAACTAGGAGGCTAATCCAAAGCCCACTAATCATAAGGGACCTTCTGTTTGCATGAATGGGTTTAGGTTCAGATCTGAGATGATGAGAGATCATTGTACAAGAAAAGGAACATTGATTCTAACTCAGGATCCAGTTGTGGTTATTTTATTTTCAAGTTCCTATTGGATATGTAGATATATTTAACTTATCTGATGAATGTTGTAGCATTTACCTGACAATTGCACTGTACAATTATTTTACTAATTTAGTGGCTTTCATGGAATATTCCAGTTGACTTGGAAAACACATTAAGGGAACATCTACACAGCAGTATTATTTTGGAATAATGCCAGTTATTCCAAAATAACATAGTGAGCATCTACAGCAAGCCCAATATTTTGAAATAAAGTTGAAATAACGGGATTCTTACTCCAACTCCTGTAAACCTTATTGCATGAGGAGTAAGGGAAGTCGGGGGAAGAGTGCTCTATTTCGAAATAAGTACTGTGTAGATGTGCCCAAAGTCGAAATAAGCTATTTTGACTTAAGCTAGTCAATTGACGAAGGCCAAGTTGAGTAGCTTATTTCGAGTTTAGCTCTGCTGTGTAGACATGCCCTAAATGAACACTTCAAGTAATTGCATTCACTAATTGCAGACAAGTTTATCCATAATACAAATTTTTAAAAAATATACAAGATTAACCTCAAGACTGGCTAAAGAGTTTTTAAAAACCTCGGTTATTGAATAATGGTCAAATTTTCAGCAATCTGAGACTATGTCTACACTGCAGTGCTATTTTGGGGTACCTTCAGTATCCCAAAATGGCTATTCTGCATCTTTTGAGTTCACCCATTATTTCAAAAATATAATGGGCTCGCTATTCTGACGTCCCTGTAAACCTCATTCCATGAGGACCAAGGGACATTTTGGAATAGTGATTTATTTCAAAATAAGTGCTATGTAGACAGCACCAAATTTTGAAATTAATTTGAAATAAGCTACGCAATTTGCATTGCTCAAATTACATAGCTTATTTCAAGCTATGGTTGTAGTGTAGATGCACCCTGACTGGTTTGATGGAGCTTCCATCGAATATAAATGTAAATAAAAAATCCTTGGCTTGGACAGAGTTTGAGATAATGAAAGATACACAGATAAAATGATTTCTGTGTACAATATCTACTATTCATCAGGTGTCTGTATGTAGCTGGCAAGTTGGGTAAGAAATGGACTAATATTTTAAAATTGCTCAAATATCCTTGTTTTTCATCATTTTCCAAACAGCTTGGGTAACTAATTGAATCAATAGAAATACTTTGGATTGTGTCCTATATACCAGAAAGGACAAGCAAACAAATTAGGAAAATGTAAATGTTCCATGTCTTTGAATTAGATTATTTTTTGCTTCATATTCCTGTTCTGCATTCTCAGACTCCCAATAGCCATTACTTTCTTCTTGCAGGCCAGAAGTACAGTATGCATTGATTTGCTGAATGCTTAAGAGTGCAAAAAATACAGGTGTAGAGTGGCTACCTTTTGTATGAATATATGTTATGTATCAGTGATAGTTTTTAGTTGCTTATATTATGCACATATGTTTAACTTTGAACCAAGTTCAAATAAAGATCAGTAGACCTCTACAACAAGAAAAAAAATGTAAATGATGACATCGGTAAATGTTGGCGATTTCATGGCAGGTAAGTTTTTTATCTAAATATTTTGGTTTAGTTTCAAATATAGCTAGTAAGTTTGTTTTGAAAGTATGTTTTAAAGGAAGACAACTGTAATTAGCAAAAGACCCTTGCAAAGAAATAAGAGTGTTTGGGCAGTAGGTGGCTAAGTATGACAATCCAAAATGACAGCAGCGTGTGAGTTTGTTAAAAGATGCATGTTCTGGGTACCCAATCATTCCATATAAACTAACCCTGTTCAAAAGAATGCATTTTTCATCCATTTGTACACACGTTTAACTGTTTTGGCTATAATTAATTGCCATGTCACGCCAACTAAATCCTCAAATGAATTTTTGAGTTGCCAGAAACAGTATAAAATGTCATTCTAAAACCATAAAACATCTCTGAAAATGAATATTGTTCTCTGTCATGAATCTATAGCTATCAGTAAGGCTGAAAATTATGGTGATTGAAAATGACTACTCCAGGTAGTACAGAACTTTTGTAATGGTTTAAACTTTAATTGTTGTAAAGTGTCAAAGCAGAAATAAGGAACTACCCTTCTCCCTTAAAAGAATCAACAATTGAATATTTTAGATAATGTAGCAATTTTTCTTTCTTTAATTCATATAACAGGCCAAGATCCCTGCAAAAGTAATCCCTGCCTCCATAAGGGCACCTGTTATCCACGTGGCTCTTACTTCGTCTGCACATGTATGCCAGGTTTCAGTGGCGAGCAGTGTGAACTGGGTAAGATGATGCCAGGCTGAAAGCTTTTCTTGTACTGGATTGTCTGCAGATTGACTAGAATAACAATCTTTCGTATCTAAGATTTGTGAAAGGAATTATATATTACTATGCGACAGATGCTGAGGCTTTGAAGGATTCTGTAAGTTGGACCTGGGCCAGACAGAGAGAGGCGAAGAAAGAAACACCTGCTCCTTTTTCCTGCCACCCCCGCCTGGCCCCAACACACACACACATTTAACTAGCAAGCAAGAAAAAAATACGGTGAAAGTAACAGTCTCTCAGGATTTAATCGCACACTTTCAAACTGTACGATATTTATGTGTGATCTTTTAGACGGTGCGGTTGTTTAACCTAGGACGGTTTTAAGTGCCTGTGAAACTGTTACTTAAGCACTGTTGTCAAACTAAAATACCCTTTTTATATTTTGATACTCAGTGGCTATCAGTAAGTCATCTTTGGACAAGATATTTGCATGAAATCTAGGTGAAAGTTTAACCGGTAGATATGCCAGAGTAAATTTCCTTAAGAGATTAGTTGTAGGTTCAGTTTTCATATTCAGACCTATTTGTCTCACAAATCTCTCTCAAACTCACAAGTCTTCATTCTTCTTTGTGGTCAGGAGACACCACTGTACAGATAGAATTTGGAGATGTATGGGTGTTTTAATACCAGATGCTAATATTTATTAGGACAGAGGAAACTTGTTTGATAAGTCTAGTGAAAATCTCTATCTATAAAGATTATTATCAATGAAGACACCTAATAATAAGCAGCAAAAAGCCTTTAAAAAGCTTTGCCCCAGTCATGCAGGAAGCGTGACATGAAAGGAATAGATAGACAGTACAATAAAATGCTAATGCCTGCAGTTTGCAGTCAGAAACTAGAAGCATTGTTTACATTGTGAGATAAGACTTGTATACCATGGTCACAGTCTAGAGAAGTTGTACTCATCATGGAGATAATTAACGAGCTGAAGAAATCAGCTATATCCACTACAGCGCATCTTCTTTCACAGTGATAAATAGGAAATGCAGATAGAGATTAGCGAAATTAACCCAGGAGTCATACAGCTGGATTCAAAAACATGTAAATGTGGAATTGTTGTTCAATAGCTACCACTTTGCTGAGGTTATTTGTTTGTGGAAGTCATAATTTTCATGTGAAAAAAGCAGTAATGTAGTCTCTTTTGCAATGCTTTATTATTCATGAGTGAAATTGTTTTTAGTACCAATTCTGAATAAGGGTAAAAGGTGTTTCCCTATAAGAAGGTGAATACATGTTCATTACTCTTTTACATTTTGATATAGATGTTGATGAATGCCAGTCCAATCCTTGCAGGAATGGAGCCACATGTATTGATGGACTCAATACATTTACTTGTCTTTGTCTGCCAAGCTACGTAGGTGCTCTTTGCGAAAAAGGTAGGACATTAACAATTTTTTTTGCAATTTGTGACTAGTCAGGGGCCACTATGTAATCATCAAGTAAGCAAAACTCCCATTAGCTTTAGTGGGAATTTTACATGAGCAAAGACATCAGGAATAGGTCTTTCTTATGGACATGGGTATTTTTAGTAAGCTCTCCCTTGTGTTTCTTGGTTTCCATTCTCTTTCACGTTTGCTTATGATTATTGTTATATCCAATCAGAAAAGTCTTTGTTTATAGTTCTGCTAATGCAAATGTTGTTTGACCATTTGTGGGAATCCGTTTTTAGCCTCCTCAGGGCACGCTATGCTTATTACTCTGGAACTCCAGCTGTCTAAATGAAACTGCAATATGCTGTTCTTATGCAGTTTGATTGCTCCTACCGTGGTATCCAAAATCTGTTCTACTTAGGTATCCTAAGGGCTGAATTGCCCTATTGGTGATGCTACAGAATTGTCCCTCAATTAGAGGAGCAAAATGCCTCCTAGAACTCCCCAGTATGTAAGGAAAGGCACAAGTTGCTCTGCTGCTTTAAAGGGTGCCGTATACCACCACCATCTACACTGTTGGTCCTGGCTCTGCTAACCATTTCCTGTCTAACCTCCTTTGTAGCAATTAAGACAATATTCTTTGTTCAAGAGGCAGAATAGAAGAAATTTGTGGTGTTTGTAGGAGAAATGAACAAATAGGTGGATCAGAAGGGGCAGCAAGGAGAAATGGCCCAATAGGACAGAACAATAGTGTGGAAATCTTTAAAGGTAAGGGCACTCATGTCAGGCAGTGGCCCTGGTTGCTGGTCCATTCCAGGTTTCTTTTAGAGATTCTGGAGCTTCTTATATCCAGCTGAACACATCAACTCTGCAGGTTGTGTATGACTCTTTCAACAATGTCAAGTGTTTGTTTACTATAAATTCACTTCACTCATGATCAAATTTTAGAACAAAACCATCATGAGAGAGGCAGCAAATACACAGCAGGACAAAAACAAACTATAAATTGACCGAAAGAGTATAACAATGGAGACTGCAAGCACCGAAGGAAGATTTTTATTAGAAGTAAGAAATGTTAAGTTATGGTCTCATAGATTACGTCTACACTTGCTTCCTAGTTCTAACTAGGGATGCAAATGTAGGCGACCGAAATCACTAATGAAGCGGGGATTTAAATATCCTGCATTTCATTAGCATAATCTCGCCTGCGCACTATTCTGCTTGCCAACTGATTCGAACCAGGCAGTGCACTCTGGGATGCGCTAGTTTGAATCAAACCCCTTGGTTCAAACTAACGTTACTCCTCAAAAAATGAGGATTAATGTTAGTTTGAACCAAGGGGTTTGATTCAAACTATTGCATCCCGGAGTGCACTGACTGTTTCGAATCAGCTGGCGAGCAGACTAGCGCGCGGGTGAGATTATGGTAATGAAGTGTGGGATATTTAAATCCCCACTTCATTAGCGATTTCGGTCGCCTACATTTGCATCCCTAGTTCGAACTAGGGAGCAAGTGTAGATGTACCCCTAGAGAGGAAATAAACAATATAAGTACAAAATGAGGGGAACATATCCAAATAGCTGCTCTCGCCATATTAAAGTAAGTGTATTTTAATCTTCAGCTCTGACCTAATGTCACTTTATTATGTAACTAAGCATTTGAGTTGCTGCAGTGTAAGGTGACATTCTGATTGGCAAGACAGCAGGCCTATGACAGTGCATATGCTTTACAATGTAGTCCACAATTTAGAACATGGACAGCTGGAAACCAGGACGCCATCACCAATTGTATCATCTGCCTATCAGCTTGGTATCTGTACTCCCAGCTTCTCCAGGCTGACTTTGTGGTCATTTAGAAAAAGGTTGCCAGGTAAAGATGACAACAGAGCTGTAAGAAGATCTCCTGGTAAATTCAGGAGAAACAGGCCACATGCCACTATTTTTCCATGTTCCAGTGCCTTATTGCACAGGAAACCCCTTTTATTTCAGTGGGACTATTCACACAGTAAGATACCTCCTTGATGTATGTAAGAGCAGCAAAATCTGGCCCATTGTTAAAATTAGTGGAGATGTTTCTAAGAGAAAAAGAAATGGTGCTTAAAGGTGTGTTTTTTCCCCCGGGCTAACAGAAATACTTTTCTTCCTCTTTTTTCTGCCACTGACTGGTTTCGCTCACGGAGTAGTCAAGTAGACCTCTACATGTAGCTGCATAAATGTTGGCAGTTTCAGGCTTACTTTTCATCCCAAACCTATTGGGTGAAATACAGTTCACAAGTTTTTCCAAGTGAACCTAAAGAGATTTGTTTGGTAGAGCTAAAACCTCTAAAGAATGACTAGTTGCACTCTCATCACAATCCAACTTTTCAGTAATCTGACATAGTCCACTGTTTGAAAGACTTTCTGAATCTGTTCTGCAAAACTAGAATTTGATAGTGTTTTTATAACAGAAGGAATAAATGTTCTCTTTTTTCCCCCAGCAAATCTATAGTACTGAATAGCCTTCAGAATCATGGTAGCTTTAATTTGCATTTTATGACCAACTTGAGAATACATTTAGGTGGTTAATGGGAACATTTCCTAGTTTGTCAATGAGAAACAGACCTCTGCTCATTCAGCTTTGGAATTTAAATTTCCTCCACTTAAAGTCCTGCAGTGGTTTGGGACCTGGGGAAAGTGTTCAGTGCCAAATTTCCATTTCACCAGACAAAATAAAACTGTATTGGCAATGCAAACACAGTTGTCTGGCAAGCTGTCTTTATTTCATGGCATCAGCTCTGACTTTGCTACATTGAAAATGCATCCAGAATGACAGAACGTGTCACCTCAGGGCTTCAGGAAAGGTGTAGGTGAGCATGCAAACATTATGTTCATTACTTGCATTTTATTTTTTGCTTGCAATACCTCCTCTTCCTTTCTGAGAACTTTCAAAATAAACGTAAAAAGCATCCACAATCTCACGGTCATGGAAGCTGAGTGCCCAATTACAGAGTACTTCTGAAAATCATGCTTTCACATAGGAGGCAAAAGGGAGAGATCAGAAAGCAACCAGATCTGTCCATCTTATAATTCCCCAAGGGCAAGGGAACTCTCAGCTGGTGCAGTCTGTTTCTACCTCCAATTCTGGGCATGAGTCAGGTTTAGGGAGGCAGTATTGCCAGAGCTCAGTACACTTTGGCTATGCTCAGCAGATACATTGTCCTTTAGAGATCTTTGCCAACTGGTGAAGGATGAGCAGCCTTCAGAGTACTTCCATCTATGCCATCACCTAGGGCAGAATAAATCCATTCTGAGAACGAGTGAGCTATAACTGCCTCCCTGACAGCCACCTTCCTCTGTCTCACCAAATGGAAACATAGTTCAGCAGAGAATCTGGGCCAAGAACTTCTTAAATGATGCAAGAGAAAGTTGTTGGACAAAATATTCTATTCTTCTATTCTTTCAGTAAACTCAAAGTGTTATTCAGAGAGACAATATTATTATTAATTATTATTATTATTATTTCCCATTCAGATTAAACTACTAGTGCAGATAAATACACCTGCTCTCTTATAAGTATCCCTTTCTGTCACTTATTTTTTTACCCATAATGCCCAACTTTTCAAAATACAACTATATCTATATATCCAAGCAGATAGTCCCTTGTTTGTAACTTTTCAATGCATAATATCCAGGAAAAGTTTGTGTAAGCAAGCGAATTTGACTGCAGACTGAGGCAGTGGCTGCAAACCATTTAAGTAGGTGGTAACTCCACAGAAGTCTAGGGAGTTACACCAGTGTAAAGTTGATGGGAAACCATTTGGTGTGTTTAGACAAATGAGCTCATGACTTTGGGGTCTTTCATTTGTAACATATAAAGTGCTTTGTTATAGCGAGCTGCAGTATGATAATCGTCTTTCATAATGAGGAATACTTCTCCACAAATTAGTGGGACTGGTCATAGGATAAGTTAATATGCAATATATGTAAGTGTGTCATAATGTAGCCTATGATGACGATTTCTCAATATTGCTCTGTCTTTACTCAGGTTGAAAAGTACTTTACTGCACAAATAGTCCCATTTTTATCAGTGGGACTATTTGGGTAATAGTATGCTATATAACCTGGCTAAGAGAGGCAACAATTTCACCATTGGCTTCTAGAATATGATATGGGAGTGTCTAACAGAAAACAATGGATTTGCTATTTCTCCTCCCCCCTCTTTCCTTATCTGGATCAGTTTTCCTTTTGTTTCATCTCTCTCTCTCTTTATTCTGACTGATCCACCTGCTCTGAAGGTGATGCATTTTTGTTTTAAAATTAAAGTGAAGTTTGGCTTCCATTGTGCTGAAACTCTGTAGACACTCTCATAGCTTACCCTGTTTACTGAATGCAGCTGTGCTCACAGACTGCCAAAATGGCACATATTCGTTTATTAGTAGACATCCCTCAGTAGGGTAATTCAACAAAACGACTTCTTTTTTCTTCCAAGTCCCCAACACAAAACAAATGTTTTCTTCATTATTAGCAACATTGCTTTTCAAATTTGAGATCCCTGTCCAAATGTTTGTGATTACTGTTTCCTCAGCTGATTCATTTTTTTCTCCCAGTTGTAATACCTTGGGCAAGCAGAAAGGTGCAGAAAGGTTTATTGCAAGGACTCTCTTTGGAAACAGATAGTTTCTAGCTTACATCTTATAGCTGAGAGGATTCTTGAATATTTACTAGAGAAGTAGTTTATCTTTGAGAGGTCTGGGCTAATGGGACACTGACTTTCATTCATTACCTGAGTCCGGAGACATTGAGAAAGTTCACAGCTGAGCAAGACTCATTTTGCATTGTAGGATCTAAACTTCAGCCTTTGTGTTCTTAATCCTCTTATGGAATTTGTTTGAAAATATTGCAACTACTGGAAGCAGCCTATAGCTGATGTTGCATACCTGCCCATTTACTATGTTTGGAGAGCTATACAGCTATAGGGGCTGTTTCAAGGAACAAAAGTGTGTGGGTGACTCCTGGCACACATTTCTGGAAACAAATCTCTAAATTATAATAAACCTTTGGGCAAGCAAGACAACTTTGAAAACCCCATAAACATAGCAGTCAGTGCTTCAGTCTTTCCAATACATTTTGGGATCAGTTTACACAAAGCTATGATTACCTTTCAGGAAACAAAGTGTGTGCATGCAATGTAAGATGGCTAAGTATTCCCACCAAAATTATTCACCAGTGGACACTGACCAGATAGGAAATGTACTGCCATGGGTGCAGCTAGACTCCCATGTGCAAGAAAGGCATTTGCATTGGCACAAGCACTGAAATCCTATTGTAGGCAAAGCCTTCATTTTCTGGGAAGAATATTCACCAATGATCTTTTGAGACTGTAAACAAATAATAATCCTTCTTTTCTTCAAGGTTAATAAGGCTAAAGAGAAGGGGTTTGATACAGTGTATGTTTCTAGCACTGATAATTAAAGGCCTCATATTAGTTACTATTTTAAATGCAGTCTCTGTGTTCAAGCCTCACATCCACCTCACACATGATTTAGCTGGCATCCCCAGTGAACAGTCACTGCATTGGCATGGCTCAGTTCTGCATAATCCTTGAGCTCTCTCTCTCTCTCTGTTATATCAAATTCTGCTTGTTGTTATTGACTTCCTTTCTCTGAGATGAGGCTCCTAACCAAGTTGAGTAATGAGATTTGAAGGGTCCACCATGAAGGACAGCACACTTAGTGCTATGTGGTTAAACAAAACCTCTAGACAGCCACAGACAGACAAAACTTAAAAATCAGCCAGCTCAAGGAGATTAAGTGCCAACTGTTGCATGTGCCTACATTCCTGGGTAGAAAAAAACTCTGTGCTGTAAATTACATGCTCTCTCCATAGCTGAGATTCTTTAAAGTATGAACAGCTTTTTCACAACTTGACTTGTCTAGTATAAAAATGTACGTGTATTCTAACCAATGCTTCTCCAGCATGGCAATTGCTCTAATACAGTGGTGGGCAAACTGCGGCCTGTGGGCTGCATGGAACCCATTGGGTTCTGTGTGTGACCCGTGATACATTGTGGCCGATGTACAGGGTCGCCAGATTCTGATGGTTTCTATCTGCATAGTTATTTTCCTACCTGTGCTACTAAAATGATGGGCATGTAAGGTAAGGGCGCATGAACTGAGGTGTGTACTGATTACATGCATAGATTGTGAGAGCCGGGCACTCCCTCTGCATCCAATCAAAGCACTGCTGCAATTCAATAGGCATACCCCAAAAATTCTAGGTGCACAAGTGTAGTTAGCAAAACCACCCTGTCCTGTGAGACCATCTTGGTTACAAGAATCTTGCGGCCCACTGAGATGGGGGGCCACCTATGTGGCCCACTCAGACTACATGTACACTGCAGGAGTTTTGCGGAAGAAGAAATGCAAATGGAGCGCTAATTTGCATGTCTCGTGCTCTCATTTGCATATCTTCTTCCCATCCTTTTTGCGGAAGAGCTTTTTGCGATAAAAAGCCCTGTGTAGATGGGGCCATTTGTCAGAAAAAAATCCCTTTTGCACAAGACCTTTATTCCTCAAAAAATGAGTTTTACAGGCTCTTGCACAAAAGAGTTTTTTTCCAACAAATGGCCCTGTCTACACAGGGCTTTTTATCGCAAAAAGCTCTTCCGCAAAAAGGATGGGAAGAAGATATGCAAATGAAAGTGCGAGATATGCAAATGAGCACACCATTTGCATTTCCTCTATCGCAAAACACCCGCAGTGTAGACGTAGCCTCACTAGCCTAGGTTGCCCATCACTGCTGTAATACATAACTTCCAGTTAAAAGCTAAGAAATGTTCTAATTAAGGAATTAGCATACATGGTATAAATAGATGGCTACAGCTCCCTTATATACAGCTAGGCTGTAGGAATAAAAGATCCTCCGGAAAAGGGCTTTATTCCGGAGGATCACGCCAGTCTAGATGCTCTTTTCCGGCTTTTCCCCAAGCCGGAAAAAAAGTGGTGGCCATGTTTATTTAAATCCCGCGGGGGATATTTAAATCCCCCGCGGATTTCCCTATTCTGACTTGCTTGCTTTGCATGCCTCTCCCGGAGAAGGGGCCAGTCTAGACGTAGCCCTAGAGTCCCTGGGGCCACATCCTACCATTGACTTAAGTAAAAATCCCAATTCCCACCTCCTAAGGTCCCCAAATAATGTAATTTATATACAGTTACTAGATCATTGACATACAGAGCTGTGTGGGGAATCCTGAGGTGGTATAAACTTGGCTCTGTGCCCTTCTTGCATAGGGACCAATAGGGGAGAGGTGGTTGAGCTAGGGGCATGTTCATGTGTTTTGAAAAGGGTGTGGTGAGAGCCTGCTAATTCTCTAGTGGTCCTCAGCTGGTGCAATGGTACGATTCCACCCAGCATAACTCAGAGCAGTCCATAGATTGCACTAAATCATGCTGGGATCACTTCTCTCCTGCTCCTTCTAATTTCCTCCCATTGGGTCTTGCATCTAATAAGAGGAGCTGGTTCACTCTTTTAAAACCGTTCTTACTATAAAACTGTTTGTCCTTGTGATCTCTTTGTACAGTGAAAACAAAATCAAAATGAATATAGACACTTTACAGCATCTGTTCTGCCTTTGGCAGCCTTACCTTGACATTATAATTAATATCAACCCTACAAACTGCTACAGTTCCAAAGCTCACATTTATGTCTATTTATCAGGAGAGAAATATTGGCTGATGTGAGCTTATCAGTACTACCCCTCATCCAAGCACAATGTGCAGTTCATTACTTTATACTCCAGCTTTATAGTTGTCTTTAGAAATTGATACCTAAGTTTACTACAGTCTACTCCTTCTTTTTGGCCAACCTTAATCTTTGCTGAGATAGCACTTCAACTTTGCATCTGCTAGATGAACAATGACAGTTACTTTTCTCCATGGCCATTTTCAATCAGCAGTCCTTCATAGTAATAGAACAAAGTAACTCAAAGCATTATTTGCTTAATAGCCCCACAAAACTAAACAATAAAAAGTATAGAGCCAGGACAACCTTAAATCCAAACAGAGCACCCGAATTTAATTCTTTCAGAGTTATAGAATAAATAATGCCTATTTGAGAGAGTCACGATCTGGCATAACGTGCTAATTCAGAGGTTACAGATTAATATGCAAAGCATATTTTTACTTATGGCTAAAGAAGAAATTTAGTAAATATAAAAGTACTGAAGACTTGAATTAGAATTACAGGGTCAGTGCTTTTTTTAAATCTGTGGTGCTTAGGTTGTGTTTTCCTGAGCCTTTAATAGCAGAATCCTCTGTCCACTTGCATAAATCTCAAGCGTGCCTCTCTTGTGTTTTTTGTTTACTTGTCACAGATACAAAGACTTGTGATTATGGTTGGCATAAGTTCCAAGGACAATGCTACAAATACTTTGCCCATCGCCGCACATGGGATGCAGCCGAAAGAGAGTGTCGTCTCCAGGGAGCTCACCTCACAAGCATCTTGTCTCATGAAGAGCAGATATTTGTGAACCGTACGTACCATTAGGATTCCGCTCAGCAACACTGGGTTGAGGATAGAGCATAGTTACACATACTGAGAAAACACCATCCAGACCTCTAAATACTTTTCATTTTTCCCTTCTAAAATATGCCTCCTTGTTTGATTTTTTTTAAAAGGAAGGCCCCATGTCTCGACCATTCCTTCTGTTGTTAATTTTGTGTTAATCATGATCTGCAGTGGGGAAATGTCTGATCTTCAGAGAAAATCGCCTTTCTGCCCCTAAAATTTTAGGTCCTGAGAAAAAGACAAGAAAAGACAAAGAAGTTCAGTACTTTAATCTGGAGACTTTGTTCTAGCCTTACTGTTTAGACAATCTGATTCTGTGGGACATCCTAAATAGGACTTCACAGACACAAAGCATTAATCACTTTGGGTATGTCTACACTGCCCCCCTAGTTCGAACTAGGGGGGCTAATGTAGGCATTCAAAGTTGCAAATGAAGCCCGGGAGTTAAATATCCCGGGCTTCATTTGCATCTTGCTGGGTGCCGCCATTTTTAAATCCCTGTTAGTGCGGACTCCGTGCCCGCGGCTACACGCGGCACGGAGTAGGTACAGGCAGTCCCCGGGGTACGTACAAGATAGGGACTGTAGGTTTGTTCTTAAGTTGAATTGGTATGTAAGTCGGAACTGGTACATATTGTAAGGGAAACTCTAGCCGAACATTTCTCCAGGGCTCAGTTTTATTCTCCCACACCTCACTTCCCTCAGTCCTTTATTCTCAAGCTGAGGTGTCTACTGAGAAAAGCCGCTCCGCGTCTCCCTGGTCTGCTGGGGGAAAGCAGCTAGTGCGGGGTTGCCTCACCCCGTTTGTAAGTAGGGATCCGATGTAAGTTGGATCCATGTAACCCGGGGACTGCCTGTAGTTCGAATTAGGCTCTCTAATCCGAACTACCGGTACACCTCGTTCCACGCCCGGCAAGATGCAAATAAAGCCCGGGATATTTAACTCCCGGGCTTCATTTGCAACTTCGAATGCCTACATTAGCCCCCCTAGTTCGAACTAGGGTGGCAGTGCAGACATACCCATCTATGTTACATTACAAGACAGATTCAGCCTTGTGATACTCATCACAGCATGAGGTGCTGTCTGCACATACTGAGTAATATTTTTGATTAAACTGTTTGGAGATGTTTATTTTCTAATTGTCATACTTTGTTCTAAGATTTGGGTCACTTGTTCGGTCTCTGAATATCTTCTTGTAAGAAACACTTTGGGTCTTTCATGATATATCTCCATAGGGATAAAAGATGCACAGTATCTAAGCCATAGCTGGCTTAGATCAGCTGATTCAGGCTGGCAGGACTCCGGCTGCAGAGCTAAAAATCTTTCTGCAGATGTTTGGGTTTAGGCTAGAGCCTGAGTTGTAGGACCCTCTACCCTCCATCCCAAGTCCAAACATCTACATACAAATTGTTCAGCCTCAGAGCCCTATGAGCCTGGGTCAGCTGATCTGGACCAGTCCAGTTGGTAGTGATTCCTGACAAGTCTGCAGGTTTCTGACTTTCTGCCACAGAGTTTGGCAGATCTCTCCTGTAAATGTCACTGAAACTTTTAACACTACTAAGGAAGAGAAAATACTTATTTAATTACAGTAAAGAGTTGAGGTAAGTTTGTTTTCCCATTTAATTATCAGTACCTGACTTTAAACTGCTGGGCTAGGTAGAAAGCTAATCAGATCTTCTGGGATGTGCAGGATAAAAGGAAGATAGTATAGGCAAGAGACTATATTTTTGTAGATTTCCTGAATTAAAATAAAAAGGCTAAAAATGAGCCTGTAAATTTTTTTGTGCATGCTTAGTGAATGCTATTTAAGAACAGGAAGTCTGATTCATTCTGTGATTTTTTTTTAATTTTCTTTGATGAATGTTCTCCCTTTTATGGGAAAGTTAATAAAAATATCTTTGTGGTATCTTTCCTGTTAGGAGTTGGGCATGACTACCAGTGGATTGGTCTCAATGACAAGATGTTTGAGCATGACTTCCGCTGGACCGATGGGAGCACACTGGTAAGATGTCTTAAAAAGAAAAAGCTAATTTGAAAGCCTTTTTGGTGATTTATCAAATAGCCATTGGAAATGGGGAAAAAAAAGGTCAGACTTCAGAATCAATAAAATAGCCAAATGTTCACCCCAGCAAATTTCCATGCTTGGGATTGCTACCTTTTCTTATCATTATGGTAGTGCCGAAAGGGTGCTATTCAATCCACACATTGAGAGATGTTTATCCTCTAAGGCCCAGATCCTGATCCCTGGTGGAACTGCTTTGAACTTATTTGCTTATATGGTGTGGGGGAAAAAAGGCTATAAAGTTGATATATCCTGCTGCCTGATGAGTCCCTCAGCATAGGGGAATTCTCAGGCTGTCTAGGGGGCGCATAATGGTTCCTATATCTCCCCTCCTATTACCCCAAGAATGCCTTCTCCATGATAGGCTAAGGCATGTCTACACTACAACCTTAACTTGACCTATGTAATTATTGCAGTGGCTGATGTCCACACTAACCCCCTTCTATTGGTGGTGCTTTTATCCTCACCAGAGCACTTCTACCAACTGAAAAGGAGCAGTGTGGGGGACTGAGAGCTAGAGCTCGAGCTAGAGCTCACAGCTGCGTGCAGTTCTCTGCCAGAAGCCTACTTGCCCCTGGGGCTTCTTGCCTTCCTGCTCCCAGCCAAGATCAGGAGAAAGCCAGCTGGGGCTTCTTGTGCCTGGCAGAGAGATCAATGAGTCCGGTTGGCTGCCATGCTCTCAACAGGGAGCTGAGAATGCCAGGTAGTGCAGCCAGGCTTCCAGTTGAGCCTCAGTGAAGCCAGAATTCCAGCAGAGAGCAGTGACTCTCAGTGGAGAGCTCACTTTGTGGAACCCAGTGGCAGCCCAAGCCAGGAGCCTAGGTATCCGCCATCTTGACAGTGGAGACCAATGTAATTGACAAGACAGGCAACAGCTGATATAAGTAATTCAGTGTCTACACAGACAATACATCACTCTAACTTCACAGACATAAGTCCTACGCCTCTTATGGAACTGGAATTATTTCGTACAATGGAGCACTTACGTTGGGGGGACAAGGCTGTAGTGTAACCCTAACCCTACGATGTGGGAGTACTATTGATATCTTTATAGCATCAAAGCAATAAGGAAAAAATAAGTAGATGGGGAAAGAAAATATTCACTCCCCACCTTCAGCTAAACTAATTCACCCAAGCCAAAGTATTCAGTCTTTTTCTTAGAAGAGACAGGTGATTTACAACCAGTATAACATCCTTTGATACACACTATATAAACTGATTGGTCATGCTTATTTTTTCCTTTGTGAACCCTTCTCTAACCAGGAAACATCTGGTCCTCAGGTCACATACATACAGACTATGTTGCAATAGTTTGTATGTATGTGACTGCTTATCACATAGATATGGTGTCTTTAGTAAGAATTCTGAAACAAAGCTGATTTGATTAATTGACACTTGATGTAAATAGAGGATTAAAGACTTTTCCAAGATTTTTCAGTGTTATGTGAACGATAATTTCTTACAGGTGAGTGAAAAATAAAAGAAAACAAATCAAACTTTTCTATGTGCTTGTTTTAGTGCTGGAACTAATCTCCTTAATTGAGCCTGGAGGCACAAATCTTTTGGACTATAGGGAGAGGAAGTTTGCTACTCTACATTGCTTCCTCCTATTCTTGGGAGTCTGGCACCTTTCGATCCATTCGCTTTGTTTATCCCTTTCTTCTCCTAAGCTCAGGCATAATCTAGCCCTTATCTGTGTAAGGGCATATCTTTGCATTGGTAAATACTAAGCAAGATGTAACTTGCACATTGCAAAGGCAAATTTGGTATGACACAAGCTAACAAAAATCAGGAAATTAAAAGCCAGAGTTGATTCTTTATTTTCAACATGTTGCTGGGCAAACTTGGGTGTTAAATTCAAAGTTAAAGAAAAAAATGTAAGAAGAGAAGACATTTTCAGGGCAGTGTAAGACCATCTGCTAAAGAGGTCTTATTTTCTAAAAAATTATCTTTATCCCACTTTCCTACTCTCAGTCCCTTTCTCTGGGAACAATCTATGTGTGTCTTGAACTCATAGCCCATAGCCAGTTATTCCGTGTGTGAAATGTTCTGTGCATGCAGTGAATCTGCATGTGTTTTCTGTTTGCTTACCGTAGCCTCATTTTTTAGATTCTTTTCCATAATTTTTGTCTCCTCCACTGGACCGTTTATCACTATTAATTGTTGGACTCTACATACATGTTCCAGTTACATCTTGGTCAAAGGTGCAAGCACTGCCCTTAATGTATCAGGTGCATCTTCAGATTCTATTGATTTGAATACAATGCTAACAATGAAAGCCCTGTGCGTGCTGTTGCAGGTAAGCACCTGCAGTATAGGCGTTAGCCCTATTGATCCAGTTTGTAATCATGAAAGCTGACATTATGTCACCATAGGTAAGTTTACAACAAAAAAGGAACTCAGTAATATGCCCTCTTAACTTCAATTTCTTAGATTAGAGAGGGGTCTGCCTATAAATCCTGACTCCAAGCTATCCTGAATTTTTGATTAGCAGAGGCCCTAGCAGAGATCTAGCATTGTTCATGCTGTACTTAGCTCTGTTGGTTTAAAGGCACTAGTTTACCCAGTAAACTGAAGATTCCTCTGGCATCAGAATTGTCTCAGGAATGAGTTCAGAGAGTTCTGCTACACTAATGGTCTCTTACTGGATTAGCGGCTATTTCGTGATTACCAGGGGGCAAACCAGTCCTCACTTGGCCGCAAAGTGCCGAGGATGTAAAGCTGCTTTTGTCTTATTACTGTACTCATTTGATAGAGTGTCAAGAGCAGCTCAGTCAGCAGCTGAAGAGTATGCCCATGCTTCCTTTAAATATTGTTTACAAACAATTATAAGACTAGTGTGTAAAAATATTAAAGAAGTTTACCTTCTGAAATAGATGACGACAATGGAAATCCTGACACAGTCTTATCCAGTGTGGCCCAAATGAAATAACTATGGCAAACAGTATATATTACTGTCACATATTGGGGATGATATTCACTCTGGTTGCTTTGTTATTCTGTGTGTGATTCCTACTGTCTTCTCTGGATGAGAACTCCTGAGGGGAGGCATGTAGGAAATGGTCCAGGCAAGCCTGTCACCTGAGTTAGGTGGAGGATCCAGTCAGGAGACACTTTGCCCAGGAATCTGAAGAAAGGAGGGGGCGTAACAGCCTGGAGGGCTGTAATCAGTTGCTGGGTGTGAGAGTTAGTTTTCAGCTGGTTTGGAGAGAAGGGAGCCTAGTTGGCTTGGGGGCCCAGAGCAGTAGCTCTGGTCCCCTTTTCCCCAAGATGAATTATACTAAATGCTCCTGGTTCCTGTTAGTAATGTAATAGTATTGTGGATTAACCAATTAATCGATAAGCAAAAGTTTATAGGTAAATGCTATTGACTTCATGCATTTCCCCCCCTCCACCCACCTCTTGCCAGTACATTTTTTATCAGGCTGGCCAGCAGCTCAGCTCAGTCCCGGCTTGCACTGGGTCCTGGACCTACCCCTGCTGCAGCTCTGCACTTGAAGTGTATTAGGAGCCAGGCAGGCAGGCAGCCCGGCTCAGTTCCGGCTTGTGCCGGGTCCAGGAGCTCAGACCCCTCCCCTCCCGGACAGGGGCTGCCTGGGGACTATAGAATAGTCAACTAGCCAATAAGAATTCATGAGGTGAATCGATTATTCAGTTAACCGATATTTAACATCCCTAGTTCCTGTAACAATAAAACTGTGCTACGCTGTGTCCCTGTCAATGAATAAACCTTCTGTTCTACTTGCTGGATGAGAGTCCCATCTGACTATGGATGGGGGTGCAGGATCTGGTGACTCCTGCACACTCCGTTAAAATTGCCACATCACCATGATTTCTCCTTGGCTTATATTTTCAATCTGGGCAAAGCAAGCAGGAATCAGGAATCTATGAACCTCAAACTCTACCACTGGAGATTGGGAATGAGGTTTGAGTTACTTTGGTGCACATTTTCCATGAAGATGAGGAAATCCACAACATAATTATTCAATCTATTGCAGGGAATTCTTTTGTCAAGTGGTGGCATGTATTTTATTAGTACAGTTTTGGGAAAAAGGCTCAAATGTACTTTTTACTTGCATCTAAAAGATATTTAGAACAATGAATTAAATGGAAGGAAGGAAGTGCCAACCATGTTAAATACGATCAGAGTTGGATGCTTACGTTGATTAGTTTGTACCAAGACTAAATCCATCACTTAGATGTTCACACTCATTTCTACCTGCCTTCAATGAGAATTACATGAGCCAATACAAAATCAAAATGTTGTCCTTGCCCTCTCTCTCTTCCACTGCTTTAAAAATTCTCTTATAAGTTTACATAAGATCAGTGTTGAAGTATTAACATGATGAAATGTGATGGATCAATAAAATGAGCTTTTTTATCAGCCTATTAATGAAGGTTTAAGTGACAATATACAGTTGAGGAAAAATCTGGCAGTATATAATCAGATGAAAAGTTTTATTTCAATTCACTGAGAATTATTTTGTAGATTACAGGAGATCCATTCATGTCATGTCTGTATTTTTAAAAAAATGTATTTGAGAAGTTTATGGCCAAGAGTTTAAAAAATGAGAGCCAAAAGTTAAGCTTTTGAAAAGTAGATCTCTTACATCAAAGCTCAGAACACCTACCAGCTCCCTCTGGCAAGCACTCAGCAATGTGAAAATCAGACCATTTGTTTAAGTACCATTTTTCAAGAGCCTATCTATAAGCAGCTCCTTTTGAAAATCTTGGCCTTTGTTTTTCTCATGGAAATGGTCAGCTGCTTGCAATTTATCAAAAGCAGCAACAATAAAACTGCTCTTTATTTCCAATGCATAGTTTTCATTCATCAGCTGGCATTTATATGTGGTTAGAAATGATAATTCCACTAAGTGAGGCAAGTCTTGGAATCCAGGAAGATTTACAGGTTGTAAATATATGAACTGATCACTAGGCAG